AAACATCATTGTTTCATGAATAGAAAGGTGTCTTCAATAGCCTTTGATGAATCTCTTACTTTAAAAGCAAAGCTTCCACTAAGAAATGGTGTGCATCAATCTACTCTCACCAATTAACAGCATGGATTTAGGTATTGACTTGTCCTTATTCACAAAGAGATGATGTAAGTTCCTATCTATTTCTTAGGCTTGAATTTGATCTTGCTTTAATTCATTTAATTCAAGAAATTGTTGCAAAATATCTGTTGTAATACCTGTTGTATCCTATTATTGAGGGTTAAGGTCTGTCCACCTCTTCTCTAAGTGGCTTCTGCAAATAGGAGAGATAGAAAGGATGAGCACTCTTTGGAAGATGTACTTGGCTTCTATTCTGGACCGCTCTACACCAAATTAAGTTTCGCCAGAGGAAGTATTAATTAGCCGATCACATTTATAGTCGGCTAGATCATTTTAAGTTTAGCCAAATGGTTTTTCCTAGAGCAGGACATACAATTTTGGGGGAGTGCTCTCCCGGGTGTTTCTGGAGCTACTGACCAAGTTCCTTTACTTATTTAATATGATTTGTTAGATTTAGTAGTAATTTGGTTGAATCTATTTATTGTTGTAATAATTTCCCCAATCCCACGTCTTTTCATTTCATTATTATTCATTCAATTGTTGTAGTTGTAATAACTCATAACTCCACGTCTGTCTATCTCTTTTATTTACATGATTTTTATATATAACATCACGTCTTATTCATCATATTCATGACTTGATTGCATTTTTCATGCATTTGGATTTGACTTATTTGCATTTGTGGGCTTGTCATTTGTTATGTGGTTTTGTACGCTAACTCATGTCTTAAAACGATTCACATGTCACGTATTAATAGCCGAATCCTTAGCCGCATTTTGTGTATGTATTCTATTAGCTATTTGACTATGGGATCATGCATATGTATATAGCATGTTATTTTTGGCTTGCCATAGATGAATACTAGGCGAGCATTTATAGTTTTAGCATCTCGGTTATGTATATTAGTTTACTATGTATAGCACCCTATCATGTGGCTATATGCTTAAGTGATATATCTTCTTAAATGTTAATGAATGAATGTTGTATTGCTTGCGTTAGAATGATATTGATTGATATGCATGTGAACTCAGTTTCTCTTTGAGTTGTACATTTATTCAAAAACTTTTCAAAATGCCTAAAATCAAAGCATACCAAAATAAAATGGCATGATCTATACTTGTTTGCTTCATATAGTAATGTTAGCATTATTAAAACCAGAACATAAGCATATAATGTTTATAAAACTCATATCATGGCTTAGTAGAGGTTGATCTTTAAATTAGGTGAGCGGAGGTGCTCAATTCATGACATTCCCCCCCCCATATCTAAGGTTCCGAACCAAGGCATCTTTGGTTATGACGAACAATGGCCTTTGACATGAGTCACGGGTTTCCTAGTTTTCCCAAAAGATTAGGTGACGACTTTGAGATTTGGTGATGCAATCCAATTCTGACATATTTTGCAATAAATGAATTTCCAATAAAGTTTCTAGATCTGGACTCTTATTTTCTGTTTCACACTGCACTAGTGATATCAGATCAAAAATCAAGAGTCTAAATTGTTGGGCACACTCGGGTAACCCTGGGACTCCTACACCCCTCCTATTGCCTTGACTTCGAAATTTCCACCATTACAGCAATTCATAAACACTTAAAAATATTCTAAGGCTTGAAGAACTCGATCATAATTAGAAACCTAAGCTTGAGGAAGGCTTGCAAGCAAGAAACTCGGCTTTTCTTGCCACTTCTTTGTGTGTTCTTCAGTTTAAGCAAACCAATAGGTAATCTCTTCTCCCTTTTTTAATTTTAGTACTGCTTCCTTCCTCTTTTCTCAATATGTAAGCATGTAGGGTAGTTCTTATGGCATGATCATTATGTAGTTCATGTAGATTATTCAATTTATTCACTCTTTCATCTCCTTTTAGCATGTTATTGATTATCTTATTAAAACAACATGTTTAGGTTTAATCAAATAGAAATCATGCATTAGGCCCAATTAGAATCATCATGAAGTTTTTTGTATTTTTCTTGTTAGTTGCTTTTTTTGCATAATCATCATGTTAGTAGCCTCGAACCAAGCTTAGGATCATATTTTGTGTGTTTAGAAGCATATTAGGTCATGTTTAATTACATACTGCATGAAAGACGCATAAAGTGGGCATCCAGATAAGTTTTCTCCATCCTCATAACATATATTTGTTCTATGCATTGTTGTTCAAATAATCCAAGTTAAATGCTCTCTCTGTGCAAAATTAGATGTTTTGATTGTTTTTATGAACATTTCTTAGTTTAGTTCATGTTTATGGCCATATATCTCTTTTTGGTAGGAAATCTTCATTTTTTGTAAAAATGTGGCTTATTCATGGAATCTAAATTTAGTGGTATTTATGGTATTCAAATCATTTAGTTTAAGGTAGTAATGGTTTAAGCTTAAAATGAATTGTATGAATAATTTAATCGTTGAAATCATAAAATAAAAAGTGAGCAGATGCTAATCTTCGGATTGGGCAAAAAGGGTGTTTCATTCAATGACCTTCCCCTTTTATACCTGAACTCCTGAATCTAGAATTTTCTGGTTATGATGGATCAAGTCCTTGACTTAGTTTTCATTGTTAAATGTTTCTTAATTTCTCTTTAAAAATTAAGTGGCGACGCTTTATTAGTCAAAGTGAATTGGTGTGGGAAACGAGCCATAGACTCGAAAAAGGCATGGCACCATTAGTTGGCAACTCTGCTGGGGACTTAAGTTAGCTTGACTTGAAAATTTCTATTTTATAAGATTAGTGGTTAATTATTAATTGCATTACATCATTGTGGGCTTGGAAAACCTAATTTTGTTGCATAATATCCTGGACACTATTCGCGGGTTATGTTATGTCAACAAAGCGAGCATCAAATTATGCTATTAGTATTATTTGACCATCCCCTTGTATTCCAAGTAGTATGAAAGGTATATTGATAGCCATAATCGATGTACCCTCGTCACCAAACCTACCTTTTGCATATAGAAAGTTTTAGCATCTTCCAAAACTAGGACATGATACTCTCTTTTTTAGGATTGTATTGTTGCCTTTTGTGTGATTTAGTGAATCTTAGATCCTATTTCCAAATTAGGACAGGGCAACCCTACCCCCAAATAGGCATGAATGCAAATTATGTGCTTGTGTGGTATTTTGTTTTGTATGGAAATGATGTGATTTGATTCTGGGGAGCAGTCAAAAAGGTAGTGATTTGGTTCTAAAATCTGGGGATTTGATTAAGAAATTATTTGATTTTGAGAAAATCTGAGTTTATTTTGGACAGTGATTCAATTCCAAAATCTGGGGGTTTAGTTTAGATAGTGATTCGATCTTGATTATGATTCTAGCAATCCGTTGTAAATTAGGAAATGGTTTCCTAATTTAAAAAATCTGAGTTTAAATTTGAAATTTACTTTAGTGATCAATTAGGAATTGTTGCCTTTCCAACATGGAATTTATGTAGCATCCCTATTTTATAAGAAAATATGTGACCAAGATACAGCTTCCAAGATAAAAGAGGTAAATAATAAAAACCATCCTGAGTAAAGTTTCAGAAATTACGAAAATAGTTTCATTTAAGTTGATGACTTTAGAAGGAATTTTGATTTCATGAAAAAATAGTAGATAAGGAAGTGGTTACCAAAGTGGATATTTTTTTTATTGGTGAGAGGTCCACCCTTTATGAAATAGTTTGGTGAGAAGTCTTTTTATGACTTTAGAGAACATTTTGTTTCTAATTTTACCCCTTAACTATCTATTGACTTTTTGTTGACTATTTGTGTAAATTTATTTTCTATCTGTTCAAATTTTTTTATCTGTTCAAATTTATATCTATGTATTCAAATTTTTTAACTATCAGTTCTATTCAAAACTTTACTATTTGTTGAAATTTACCACATGATCTGTTGAATTTTTATATCACTTCTCTCTCTACGTATATATATATATATATATCTATTGAATTTAATATGTTGAATTTTTTTCAAATCTGTTGAAATTCTATAATTTTTTTCCTATTTGTAAAAAAGAAGCCAGGTTCAAACTATTGAAATTCTCTTATTCTTCTTCTTTTCTCACTATCTGTTTCTTTCTCTACAAGTAGAAATAATAGAGGTACTATTAGGCATTTTCTTATATGTCCAATTCTTATCACATATATAGACAAAGAGGAAAAGAACTCTTCGCAGAGAGAGAGAGAGAGAGAGAGCGGTCTCTGATGGCGTCATTGTTAATTTAAGGTCCTGTGAACATTACTTTCACAAATTATCAATTTATCATCTCCAATGCCATTGTTAATACTCCCTCTGTCCCAAAATATTAGTCCTTTTGGGGAATCCAACTTTTTTTTATAGTACAATTATTACATTTCAAAATTTTTAAATTTCCAAAAATATCCTTTGATTTAAAATTAAGGTCAAATGAGTACTAACAGTGTATGAGAAAATCTCTCCAAAAATTTTGGCAACAAATTAGATTTGTTGTGAATCAAACCAAATTTAAGGGAGTATCTAAATAAAATTTGAAAGTTTCCGTTTCAATTTAAAATTCCATGTTAATAGAAACTCTTCTTTCTCACAAATTCAAACTCTTCTGTTTTACTCCTATACCAAATCTACTCTTTTTCTTTCCTATATCTCATCAACTCTTCCAGTTTATTGTCTCATGTTTTTATCTTTAAATGTTGATCCATTTTAATCCATTATGGATTCTATAATTGAGACTTCCTTTGTTGCTTGTTCCCCTGTTCCTCTTTTTTGTGTTCATCATAGAAGAAAAAAAAAAATCTAACAAATCATCTACGCCAATCAATTTTTGAAACTCTGCTAATACGAAGTAAGAATGGAAAATTAAAAAGGGGTTGTCAAACTGAGATTGCTGCAAAGTTCTCTGTCCATATAAAAACTGTTCGCCGTATTTGGTAGAGATGAATAGCTTGTATGGAAATAGGTTAATGGTCAATGTATCTAGTAAATTAACAATTCTGGCCGCAAACAAGTTCAACTCAACTATGGGGAAGTCGCTGAAATTCCTCTACATTGTCAAACCAATATCTGTCTGCTCATTGTCAAAGGCATTGAATTTTCCAAAATCAACAGTTCATAAGAGAATTAAAGAAGGAAAAATTAGGCCGTATTCAAATGCGTTGAAGTCGTATCTATCTAGAGACAATAAGAGAGAAAGACTCCGATTTTATCTTTCAATGCTTGAGCATAATAGTCTTCAAGGCCAGCCAATGTTCAAATCCATGTATGACTATGTGCACATTGATGAGAAGTGGTTTTACGTCTCCAAAGAAGTAGAGAGGTATTACCTTCTTCTTGAAGAAGAAGAACCACAACGTTGTTGTAAAAGTAAATGTTTCATTACAAAGGTAATGTTCCTTGCAACAGTTGCTTGGCCACAGTTTGATGAAAATAAAAATGAAGAATTTTCAGGTGAAATTGGAATTTGGCCATTCACATACAAGGAACTAGTTAAAAAGAACAGTAAAAATTGTGCAGCTCGTACACTTGAAACAAAGGCAATTGTATCAGTAATAAAAGATGTTATTCGTGCATGTATGATTGAGAATGTTCCACCCGCAATTCAATCTAAATGGCTACGTTCCAGTGCAATGAATACTATATTCATTCAACAAGATAATGCAAGACCACATGTTGATCCATTTGATGTTGGATTTCTTGAAGCTGCAAGTATAGAAGATTTTGATATTCGCTTATAGTATCAACGCCCAAATAGCCCGAACATGAATGTTTTAGACCTCAGACATTTTAGAGTGATCCAATCTTTGCAATATCAAGAAGCACCCACACATATTGATGAATTGGTTTATGCCGTAGAAAAATCGTTCGAAGAATTATCACGGGAAACTCTTGATCATGGATTTGTAACTTTGCAAGCATGTATGTTAGAGGTGATGAAAATCAATGGTGGAAACAATTACAAATTGCCATATATGGCAAAGAGAAAACTGATTAGAGATGGTACTCTGCCTTGCCAAATTCAATATGAACCTCATGTTGTTGAAAATGCATTGGCCTATCTCCATATAAGTCAAGGTGAGTTTTTGGGTCTCTGTCCTTGTTTTTTGTTTGTCTATATATAGCATGGATGATTGAGTTTTCTTTCACCATCTTTTGTTTTGCCTTTTTTTTTTTTTCTTCTTCTTCTTCCAGGGGTCTAACTCCACAAGGCTTCAGAATTTTTTGGGTGAATTCCTTAGTTAAGAACTTTGCTGATAGAGAACAATTTTTGTTGGTGAATTTTATCACTTAACTAAAAGCTTCTTTGATGGTGTTGTTGAAGAAATCATTTGCGAATTTGCAATGCTAAGTGTAAATAGCAGTGGTGAGAATTGGAACTCGATGGTGCCAGCCCTTCCTTTTGTTGTTTTTGCCCCTTTTTGATATATATTCCTTTTGAAATGTAATGAAATAAAGTAGTAATACAGTAATACTAGGATTTTTTTTTTTGGAAATATCAATTGTCATAATTATGTACTTTTTGTGTATATTAGTGTTAATGAATTTAAAAGAAGGGTAAAATGGGAAATTCATGTCATTTTTGTACTTGATTTTTGAAAGGGATTATTATTTTGGGACAATAAAAAATGAAATAAGAGACTAATATTTTGAGACGGAGGGAGTACATATATAGATCTTGGATATATGGAATACATATATATATATATATAGAGAGAGAGAGAGAGAGAGAGAGAGAGAGAGAGATTTCAACAACTACAGCAAGCCAGTTCAATTAAAAAGAGAATTTAAACAAATAGTAAAATTCTGAAGTGAATTTAGAGATGACGGCAGTGGATCTGAGTATTACTAGACAAATGCAGTTCTTATCACCAGTCTAATATCTAGATTTGAAAAATCAATAAGAGTTTTTAAACTTAAAAATATAAATTAAATACAATAATTTCTTTAGATCTAGATCAAGTTAGCATATTTGATTAACTAATCTTTAGACATAGATCTAAATCTAGATCACAACAATCAAGCAATATTGTATGCCTTCATAGGAGGAATAGAACATTTAGTGTTATTCAAAGTAAATCACTGAAATCTCAAAAAAAAAATAAAAATAAAAAATAAAAAATAAAAAATGAAATGAAAAAAAATAAAAAAAGAGGACTTCGTTACCGGATATGCGGTAGATATGTGTGACTTCCTTACTAGAGTGCTTCTAGATGGTTCTCTTCTTTAACAATACTATCTCTCTCTACTCTCTCTCTAGAGAGAGAGACGAAGAGGTGATGAAGCCATAGAGGAGAAGATCAACAACAGTTGATCGGAGAAGGTATATGAGTGGAGGACGGCAAAGAGCGACAATGACAGATCGCAGAAGAGAGAAGATAGAGAGAAGGTAACTGTAAATCCAAACCGTACACAACAGATCTAGAAAAGAGAGAGGGCGATGAAGTGGAGGATGACGATGAAGGAATAAGGTGACGAAGGACGGTGGTATTAGGGACAGGAGTAGAAAGGTGGAAAGGAGAGAGATGAGATAGAGAGAGTAAGGGTTTGGCTTGGAAACTATCGTATATATATATATATATATATGGGTGAAACACCAATAAATCTCAAAATTTGATCTTATAAACTATTTGGTCCTTCATTTTTTTCTTATGAACCCAAAAGTCCCATTAAAGTAAAAATTACATAAAAAGGTAATCAATTACAAGTTTGGATTAAATTTTTGAGGGATAAAAGTGGGTTTCTCCAAATGTGAAATTACACATTTGGGCAATTCACACTATAGAGGTTTTAGGTTTTCCTTTCTTATGAAACAAATCCCACATTACAAACAAGAATGCAACACTTGTAATACTAAAAAACTCTTTAATGTATTTTTTTCTAAATGTAACAACGTAATACTCCAAAAAAACTCCTTAGTATATTTTTTCAAATGTAACACTTCAATGTAACACACTCCAAAAAAGTAAGTAATGCTGATTTTGTTGTGTGTGAATTTGTTGATCGATGTTCTAGGTGATGATGTTGTGGTGGTCGTAGTGATGTTGGTATTCAACCCATGTTGCAATGTGGGTGTGGTTTCTCAAAACCCTATATTGTGGTACTACATACTACCTTCTTGGTTGTTGCTGTCAAATTGTGAGGATTGTGATTCCCTTATAATCTCACAAGGGTTACCACCTTGTTTCTAGGTTTGTTCAATCACAGTGGTATAAGAGATCGTAAAACTTATGTTTACGACCCATGATTTCAGAGAACAAATGGTTGGTGGTTGGAACATACCGATTCCAAAGAGTTGTGTGTCGATCGTCCAATAGTGTGACTACTCTACGTCGTCGAAACCCAAATGTAGTGATCAAGCTAACTATGACAACTACGGTTTTAGAAAATTAGTGAAATCTACCCAAATTGTGATTGTTTTTTTTTTTATTATCAATATACATACGTGAATAACCAATGCCAGACAATGTTCACGAACAAAACCACACGCCACATAAGAAACAGGTTCACACCATCTTGGTCGTTTAATGTGTACAATGTACAATACCATATTCCTAAAAAATACACACCGTAACGCGACCAATGCGTCAATGTGTATGTGACAATGTTACCGAATGTAAAATTATCATATCCAAAACACACACATATTACTAAATGTGAATACCATTGTTCGACCGTGTTTTACATCCAAAACCACACCCCAGTTCATGGCCTTCATGAGATAAAGATCAAATGTGTATGTACCATTGCCAATAACCAAAAAACAAATGAAAATACATGCATAAAAACATTTATTTGACCTATTGTGCAAATGTGTATTTCATCGGAACACCATGTGAACGTTTAATGATTTATTAATCATGTGACTATGTCATGCGAATGTGTAATGCTGGCTTGACATCTACACCAAGTTTTTCGATATGATAACCTATGGTGATTGATGAGTTCGTTATGTCGACATGAACTTCAAATAATGATCGATGTTCTAGGTGATGATTGTGGGGTGGTCATGGTTGTGTGGGTATTCAACCTATGTTGCAATGTGGGATTCCTCCCCTTATATGAATTTATGCACTTTACATGTATGTATGTGGTATTCTAGGTTTGTTATATCGATGTGGTTTTTACATCAAATATTGATGTGGTTTTATATGTGGTTTTCTTTGATTTTGTTGTTCTTTAGTTGGAGTTCTGGATAATGATATTGGGGTGATCATAGCGGTGTGGATATTTAACCCATCTTGCCAATTGTTTACTAGAAGATAGGGATCCCACACCAATCAAATCCGTGAATCTCCCGCCCAAATCTCACGAAATCCTCCTTTTTGTCCCAAATTTCCTTCCTCAACAGGAAATCCAAAATGAAATCAATATGGGCCAAGACTATTAACGTGAAAACACACCCTATACAATCTATGAAATTCACCTTACCCAAATGGATGGGACTAATCAAATCATAAGAAATCTCATAAGATTAAACGGATCACAATTCCTTCATATAGGATTTATCGACAAATTTTTCTATATATAAGGATATTTTGGTTGTTTCACTTAAACATGTCATTATGGATAAAGTATTTTAGACCGTAAATTTTTATCAAATAAAATTCAAATTTAAATTTATGGATAGAGTATCTTAAATACATGATACATCTAAAAATTATAAAAATAAACACTTAAGAACAAACAAAAATTCATGTCGAAGCAGTTTTTAAAAAATGAAACCAAACATTGAGTGAGAGAGAGATAGACATTCGCTTATTTTCTTAGTTTGTTATCCCACTATGCTTGGATTGAGTGATTTGGAGAGAAAAGAAAATAAATGAGGAGATAAGTATTTCTCTTACTTGTTTGAATAACTTAAGTGGAAATAAATGGAGAGAAACGAAGGAAAACCCATTTCTCTTATATAACTCTCATTTCCAATCTTTCTAAAAGTAGAGAGATTGAGAGAGAAATGACGCTAACCTATTCTTCTATTTTCATAATACTAATTTTGTTCCGATAAAAATAAAAGAAATAAAATGATTGACACTCATATATTCTAAAGTTTTTCATATCCAGCAAAAGATTATTTTGGTAATATAACATAAAAAAATTTCTTTTATTTTCTCTTATAAAATCTAACTAAACAAGAAGAAAAAAAAATCATAATTATTTTTATTTTATTTATTTTTTTATTTCTTACTTATCTAAATAAAAAAATAAAAAATTTACAATAATTTATTTTCTTTTCTTTTTTATTATAAGTTAAATAATCATTTACATTTCTTCCTCTCTCTCCTCACTTCCCAAACATAGTGTAACAGTGTAACTGAGAACTCTATGTAGTGTTATAAAACTTGAGGCTGCTGCTCATAACTAATGGTTGCCGGTGGTCGGTTGTCGTAGAGTAACTTGGAAGGTGGGGGATAGATATGGCAGCATCGCCATCTCCATCTCCATCTCCATCTCCATCGCTTTCGGCGGTTAGGTCATGGAGGATGGCGTTCTTAACCCTGAGGGACGAAACCCTAACCTCGCCACCTTCCACCGCCGTTGTCCACCTTCTCAACCATCTCATATTTTCTAACTCCGACAATTTGATCCGCGTCGCCTCCGACTTGCCTTCTCACGAGGTGGATTTATTATTATTCACTCCATTTCTATTACTTTCTCTTGTTATATTCGTTGCTCACTCCTATTGATTTATGCATATATCTCTCTGCCATTTGTAGGTTACCTCCGATTTGATGTTTCT